GAAGAACGGATCTATGGGATGAGATTCGACGGCTCACAACTAATGTCTCTCTTCCCTGGTTGTTGGCTGGAGATTTCAATTCCATTATCAGTCCCCATGACCGGATGGGCGGGGCGGAGTATCAAGAGGCCAGGACCCGGCCATTTAAGTAGTGTATAGCTAATTATGGACTTTTGGAAGTTGACTTTACGGGGCCACGATTTACGTGGAAGCGGGGGAATCATTACCAAATAATGGACATGGCCCTTTGCAACTGTGCATGGCTTCTCAAATACCCATCCACGATCATCAGTCACTTGGAACGCATTGGTTCGAATCATCGACCCATTCCTGTCAAGGGATCAGTGGACTTGAGGCCCAGGGGTGACAAGCCTTTTCGGTTATTGGCGGTTTGGTTATGTCATGAGACGTTCCCGGGGCTGTTATCCTCCTCTTGGTGTGATCCTTCAGCCTTGCCGGTCAACTTACATTCGTGCTCGGAGGCGTTGCGGAAATGGAACAGGGAGGTGTTCGGCAACATTATCCGCAGAAAAAGGAAGTTGTGTAAGGAACTCAAGAAGCTTGAGATGCAGAATGAGAGCAATCCAACCCCGGAGTCCTTGGTGGCAAAACAGGATAAACGAACTGAACTTGAGGAGACGCTTTGGCAGGAAAACCTGCTCTGGCTTCAAAAGTCGCGAGCAATCTGGATTGTGGAAGGAGACCGAAATACCCGCTTCTATCACTTGTCCACTTTGAAGCGACGTCGTTTCAATAGGGTGGTGGGGCTTCGCAATGAGAATGGTGAGTGGATATTTGAGGATGAGGAGCTGCAGTCCCTAGTCCGTAACTACTTCCTGGGGCTGTTTTCGGCCGAGCTAGGCGCAGCTCCGCACCTGCCAGCGTCTTTCATTAAGATCTCCAGACGAGACGCAGAAACGGTGGCCCTCCCTATCAACTCCTTGGAAGTGTGGGAGGCATTAAAAAGTATGGGCGAGTTCAGGGCTCCTGTGAAAGATGGGTTCCCTCCTCTCTTCTACCAGAAATGTTGTGCTACGGTGGGGCCTTCTTTGGTTCGGTTTATTGCTGAGTGCATGGTTAGCCTGCAGTCCATAAAGGCGGTAAATGACACCCTTCTGTGCCTGATAGCGAAAAAAGAAAGTTCGGAGTCTATCACGCAGTTCTGCCCAATTGGGCTGTTCAGTGTAGCTTACAAAACTCTTGCCAAGGTACTGGTGAATCGGATCAAACCACTTATGTTGAGCCTGATTCACCAGACTCAAACGAGTTTTGTACCAGGGCGTCATATCACCGATAACATTATCATCCTTCAAGAGGTGGTTCACTCTATGGGCACCAAGACAGGACGGCGAGGACAGATGGTCCTTAAAATTGATCTAGCCAAGGCCTATGACAGATTGAGCTGGACGTTCATTCAGGAGACTCTCGATGAGGTAGGGCTTCCTAGCACCATCATTGATGTGATTATGCATTGTGTTTCCTCTGCTTCTATGCAGGTTCTATGGAACGGATGTACTACGGAGGAATTTACGCCCTCACGCGGCCTTCGACAAGGCTGCCCGCTCTCGCCATACTTGTTTATGCTGTGTATGGAGAGACTGAGTCAGACTATAGAGAGAGCGGTGCAAGGTGGGAATTGGAAACCGATCAGGACGTCCCCAGGAGGCCCGCCGCTTTCTTACATTTTCTTTGCAGACGATCTTATCTTGTTTGCCGAGGCGAGTGAGCTGCAGGGGAAAGTAATAGCGGATTGCCTGGACCGTTTCTGCCTTGCCTCGGGACAGCAGGTGAGTAAAGAAAAATTTGTCATCTTTTTTTCGAAGAATGTGACGAGGCCGAACAGTGCACGGATCGCCCAGGAGCTAGATATGCCGATCACTCACGATCTCGGCCGGTATTTGGGTGTCCTTGTCTTACATGGACGGGTGACGAAGGTAACCTATCATTATATTATTGATCGCCTTGAGAATAAATTGTCTGGTTGGAAGGCACATTCTCTCAGTTTTGCAGGCAGAGTTACCCTTGCATCCTCTGTGTTGAATTCCTTGCCAACCTATGCGATGCAAACTTCTCTTCTTCCTCAGTCGATCTGTGATTTGATTGACCGGAAAATTAGAAGTTTCATCTGGGGTTCATCTACAGAGGCCAGGAAAATTCACCTCATGCACTGGGAAGCGATTTGTAGGCCGAAATCGGAAGGAGGATTGGGGCTCAAGAGTGCGCACGAGCTAAACCTTGCTTTCTTTGCCAAGCTGGCGTGGCACTTCACCAAGAAGCAGGAGGAGCTGTGGGTGAGAGTTCTTCAGGCAAAATATTTCAAGATTGTTAACGGCACTCTAGTATCCAAGTCGTCGCCGAGAAAGTCCAATGTCTGGCGAGGAATAATGAAGGCCTGGCCGATTATGTTATCGGGCATGAAGATGAGCATTAAAGATGGTTGTATCACCTTGTTTTGGACCGACATCTGGGTCGACAATGGAGAGCCGCTTCTCGACTTGGCTCATGACGATGAACCTGAGATTGACCCGACGGCTGCTGTGGCCGAGTTTGGAACTAGCTCTGGTGAGTGGAATATCCCAAAACTTCTTTCTTGTTTGCCTGAGGATGTTGTCTTGCAGGTTTTGGGAGTTCAGCCCCCGAGTGCAGGCTTAGGCGAAGACATAATGACGTGGGGCCCGGAGAATGATGGTCAGTTCCGCATCTGGTCAACCTATGAGATCGCTAAAGAGGAGGTGGACAAAGATGTTGACATCGACTGGCGGTCTATTTGGCGATGGCATTGTCCCGCTAGGGTCAACCATTTCATGTGGCTGCAATACGACAGCGACTTTTGACGAACCAAGAGAGGCACCGAAGGCATTTGACAGAAGCTCCCCATTGTTCCATCTGCGAGTCTCAGGCGGAAACAATCCTGCATGTGTTGCTGGATTGTCCCTTTTCCAGGTTAACTTGGCTGCAACTCCCTCAGCTTTCTGATCATCAGAACTTATTTGACAATAATACACAGGAGTGGATCCTATGTAATCTCAACAGAGAGCACAGAGGCCTAGATTTTGGCATCATTTGCTGGTCCCTATGGAGGACCAGGAACGACAGAGTGTTTCAAAATAAAGTCGTTACAACTGAAGCGTTCTTACAGCGCGTCCAGGCATGGATTAATGTCGTGCGGACTGCCATGAACAAAGATAGGCTCGTTCATTTGCCTAATCTGCCTGCTAGAACGGAGGTGGAGATCTCGTGGAAGCCGCCACCTCCAGAGTGGGGTTACTCTCAATTCAGACGGCTCCGTCCTTCAGGAATCAGGTCACGCTGCAGCTGGTGGCCTGATTAGAGATCATACAGGAAGCTGTTCTACAGGTTTCGCTATAAACTTGGGTATTTGTTCTGTTACCCAAGCAGAGTTGAGAGGCGTTGTGGAAGGTCTTCAGTTGGCCTGGGACATGGGTCATCGTCGAGTCATGGTGGAGCTTGATTTCAGGTGTGCGGTCCAGCTCCTACGGAGCAGGGATAGACCTGACCATCATCATGCTGCTCTGATCGACCGTTTCCATGATTTGCTTGCCCGGAATTGGGAAGTGTTCGTTTCCCATATTTATAGTGAGGGAAACAAGTGTGCTGACGCCCTAGCTAATAGGGGCCATTCGCTATCTTTTGGATTTCATAGGATTGAGGTTTCGGATCATACCCTGTGTAATTTACTCTTATATGACTGTCAAGGCATTTCTCTGCCCCGTTTCGTTGTGAATGAAAGCTGAGATGCGTTGCATCCATTTACAAAATATATATATATATATATATATATATATATATATATATATATATATATATATAGGCATCAGATCCTCTATGAGTGATGATTATGGAGGCTTCAAAGCAGCTAATAAACAGGGATAATATCAGGCGACAAATGGGGTTCCATAGTCATTTGTCTAATTCGATCTCAACCATTCAAACTCATTAAAATTTAATGGCTCTAATTAATTCAATTAAATGAAGGGTAATGTAGTAATTGCATGATTCAAGGTTATTTTATTTTTTAGTAATTAAAAATTAAAAGAATCTATAGCGGCACGTCCTGTCCTCCTCGCCTCAGCCGACCGGTATTTTCCGGCGGCCGTCCAGGATTTTCGGCGCCATCATTTTTGTGCAACCTGCCATTTTTGGTGCGTCCAGAGAGAGAGGCCCCCATTTTTGGTGCGTCCCAGAGAGAGTTTTTCGTCATCGACGAATTTCTCGGCGACGGCGGAGATGATTTTCCGACGATGGGAGATTTTCTGGCGATGTCTGTTTCGTTATATTTTTCGGACGCTTTTGTAATGTTTGTAAGTAAGTTTTTTGATTTTGTATCAATTTGGTTTGTATCGTTTATCATTCTAGTTTGTCATTTTTATCTATTATGTTTGTAATGTTTATATGACTAATTTGTATACATTGTAATTTGTAATGTCTGTTGTATACTTTATGTTGTGATTTGTATACTTTTTATTCATTGATTTGTAATACAAGTTTATTGTTTTGTATTATAAGTAGTGATATTTTGTACTGTTAGTATGTTTGTAATGTTTATCGGTCTAGTTTGTATTGTCTGTATAGTTCGTATGTTTCGTATTGTTTGTATATTTTGTCGGTCTAATTTGATTGTTCATATGTTTGTAAGATTTGTACTGTTTGTAAGTCCAGTTTTTATGTTTCATAATTTTGCATAATAATACTCAAACTACCAGATCCGCCCTCTAATAAACAGTTATGCTTAGCGTTAAAAAGCAAAGAAAAGGCAAGGAATCATAAATCCGGAGACAACCAGTTGTACCATTATTAACGGATCTTGAGAAACGTTACATTGGTATGTCATCAACCCCATCGGGGAAAACAAAACAAACCAAAAAGCGGAACGAGCAACACAATCGAGCACAAGGCTGTTATTCAACTTATCACAAACCACTATTATAGGGCGGGCAACATTCAATCAAAGCACACACAGACTCAGTGGCTAGAGTGGCCTAGAAACCATGAATCTGGATCTGGTCCTTGGTGGCGAGATTGGAACGGACCAGGAAGGCCTGGACGTTCTTGCGCTGGTCGCCCTGGAGCTGAATAACCTTCCCCAGCTCTTTGTCATTCACTACGTTGCCGTTGCAGCAGAAATCCTTCTTCACGTCCTTGAGTATCCTCTCGTAGCTGAAGTCTTTCGGCAGCCCCTGGACCGTGGTCAGGCACTTCTTCCCATTCCTCTGCTGCACCCTGATGTGCACCTTCGCTTTCGTTCCCGACGAGTCTTTGGCCTCGGCAAAGGGGTCGATAGCAGAGGGGATCTGGAAGTCTAGTTCAACCATGTACTTTGCTTGTTGGGTACTTGTTCGTCTGCTGAACAATCATAGAAATACGGCTCGTTAGCAAGCAGGGGAAACGTGCCCTAATGAAATTCAATAGGAGCGGCTTTTCATCGAACAGATTATCAGCAAAACAAATTTGCAGAGGAAAAGGAACCACCATACTGATCAGCATAAGAGGATCAACAATTCTCTAACAATAATTCTGTCTTTATACGATCAAAGCAGCTAACAATCGGAGAGAAACGGAAACATGCCAAATCTAGTAATTAATTTAAGCATATACGATCATTTGAACACACAACTCAAAGCTCCAAATCGACCAAGGAACGAGATGATCAAAGATGACAGGACTGAAGATTGATCGCTAATATGAAACAAGCAGAGCAAAGGAAGGAAATATTGGTGGAAAAGAGAAAGCGAGCGAGTTGGGGAAGACCGACTCACCTGGCGGAGAACTGCGTGCGTTGGAAGGAAGCTTGTTTGTCCTGAACTCGGAAGGATGCGAATATGAAGAGGCAGGAAGGGCGGGGGATGGGATGGTTTATATAGTGGGAGATAGCGAGAGTCGCTGTCGGTCGGGAGGGATAAACCGGTTAAGCCTGTAAACCGCTTCTCGAATGAACTCGGTTGGATTTGACGGATTACTATATTACCCTATCTCGTTCACGCGTTGACGGTGGAAGATGGGGGCAACCGAGTAAGCGGACGGCTGTGATTGGGTGAGGGAACCTTACGGGCTACGGCTATTTTATTTTGGGGGACGCTTTGTCCACGCGTAGGGGCAACGCAATGTGGAAGAGTGAGTGGTGCATATCATATCATTCACGAGGTGTGGGTCCATGGACCAGAAATTTCTGGATGACTTTCCGGAAATCACCTTGGTTTTTACAAGAAAGAAAGAAAGAAAGAACAATTAGGGTTATGTTCATCTCTATGTTAAGGTAGTCTCCTCACTGAATAGTAAATACAAATAAAAGCAAGCTCAACTCCTCGCTTTATGATAGTGGATTTATAGGTTGGGGTCGTGGCTTTGTATGTTTTCTTTCTGTGAAGAAATTTTTAATTCTTACACGGATGAGACTGATCACACTTGATTCAATAAGAAATAACGGGATCTTACATATCAGTTGAAAAAATAATAAACCAATTCCTAGAAGAACAACTCTCTTTTGGTATAGAATAGTGGTTCACTAGTTCTCATTTGCGCCATTAAAAAAGTCACATAATGGGAACAAAAAGAAATCTCAACACTCTAGCACTTTCGGAAAGAGTAGGAATGGATAAGAAAGAATCTACAATAAGATGTGATGCTTGAAGATGACACAAAGCGTGAATAAAATGTTTCTAGACCGGAAAAGAAATTGTTCATCTACTTTCTCTAGTCTTCGGTAGTAGAGTATAATCCGCCTGAGCCAGGGGCGTAACCAGGATTTCATCTAAGGTGGATCCATTATTATTAAATTTTTAAATATCTATCATAGAATTTTATATCTGAAAACTTTTGGTAAATAAAAACACATTAGTAGTCGAAACTATCAACAATATCTCTCTTTGTATATCAAACAATTATTCATGGTTTAGTTAGTCTTCGCTTTTGAAGGGTCTTCGATGTCAAGAAACGTATAGTATCAAAAATTCAAGTTGATAAGAGAGATTCATTGATGCAACTTATATCAAACTATTAGCCATGATTTAGTTAGCCATTCGTTTTTCAATGATGTTCATTGTCAAGAATCGGTTAGTATCAATAACTGGACGATTAAGTTAGTCATTCACTTTCAAATGGTGTGATTTGTAACAATCATTTAGCATCAATAGCTAGAGTTGTTAGGAGAGGTAAAATAATGGATTGTATATCATTTACTAGCGAGCCCCTTCAAAAAAATTAACTTATATGGACTTGAAGTTTGTACAAATCTAAATATCACATGTTTAACAAATAAGGTCATCAATATTATAACACAAGACCTATCAATCAATCATTCTCACTTGGATGCGCACTAATTTTCATTATCAATTAACTATTATACCTAATTTGTCAATTTTTCTCCCATAACCCACCCTATTACCTTCTCCCTCCGCCCCTGGCCTGAGCTGGAAAGAATGTGTCATAATTTCAAAGCCACAAAGGTGATGAATGCTTGAAATACATTGGGAGGGAAAGGATGCCAAGATGAGCAACTCAGGAACTCTCCAGGTCTCCACGCGGTTTACTATATACAACGAACTACAAACATAAGTACAAAACTAGCAAATGATGAAATCCCTGAAAAAGGCCGAAAGAAAGTGAGTGATGACAGCGAGAGGAGCTTTGGGTACACCACCATTGAGATAATCACGTCCATGCACGAGAACAGGGCCATGGCGGATTTACTTGCTCTGCTTCACGTCCTTCTCGACCTCATGGATTGTCCATTGCAAATTCTCCAGTTTCTACAACATACAGCGAGTTATCTTGTCACAAGTCATCCAGTGTGCAAGGGAGTGGTGGTTTACTTTCACGGGAAACCAGTGCACAACAGTTTCTATAGTTGCAAAATAAGTGAATGGTTAAGGATTTACCCTGACTATCTCCTGGTATTGTCTTGCGATGGTGTCGAATTGGGGGTCAACGCCTAGGTACTCGTGAAGGCGTGTGGCCTGGAAAACAAAGATGTTGAAATGCAGGTTAGATTGGATTTTAGGAACTGGAAACAAATGGTTCAGGGAAACAGGAAAATGTGCAGGCTACATATGCTGGTACAGCTTAAGATAAGGGAAGCAAAATGAAGCAAGCTTCTATACAACTTTCCCTGCTGGACAAGGACAGTGGTAATGGGACAAACCGCTTTGTTATATGCAAGAGAAGCCTCTTCGGTAGCCTCGATAAGGTATTTCCTGAAACAAGAGCAAGGGGTTTTGACATTCTTGATGAGATGAAATCTATGTCGCTTCATGCATGTATCTTGAAGAATCAAAGAGGTCAACACCACACACCTTATTTTGTGGAGTGCCGGTATTGACTCCTGAGTATAAGTCTCCAGTAGTAGAACATGCTCCAGAACCCTGTAGTTGTCATGCATCTCAAGGAGTTACTAACAAAGGATGACACATCGTATCAATACTAGTACTAGCAAGTCTAGCATCCCAAAAAACGTGTTACAACTAAGAAGAACAAAATCAGCACTCGATCAAGTTTTATGGCCGCTAACTGCCAAGTGCATTGGTCAGCTTCTCTGATGTGACAGGCCAGAATAAATGGCACACGTGCCAACAAACCTTAGCTTTGCGTCCATTGTCTCACACCTCTTGCACAACCAAGTCGTTTGTAGTTCATCCTGTACAACAATAAGATAAGAGTCCGTAGAAATCAATCCAACTTAGGTAAAAAATAGTTTTTTGTTACAGAGACTGCCTTCAAACTGTCTTTTCTTTCAATGGAACATCAAACCATATTTAAAGAAAGACACTTTCATGAGAAATTTTAACAGTTAAATGCTTACATATTTGTGCTGGTGTTGCAACTTCAAATCTTTGACAAGCTTAATGAGCACCCCAAGGATCTGCTCCAAGACCTTCATAAGAAAAAATCATTAGACAAGTTTACATGTTAGATACAATGGCAAGAAGAAAATAAGCAGGAGTGAAAGCAACATCAGGGCATACTGCTTCCAAAATCGAAGAGAAGAACATGGAACCCACAAAAAATTTCTCTGAAGAAAAACAGACATACGTTATAATATTCAGCAAATTTTCGATCAACGGAATAGAGGTCCTCCCTTAGAGCTCCTTCTTCCCTTTCAATTTCCTCAGTTATCAACTTCACCCTGATAATATTAAAAAATCCTAGTTAAAGGTGCTCAAACAAAAGACACTAGAAGGTTGCACCAGTGTATGGATTCCTAGTTAGTTGTGTTGTCCACCATCAAACAGGTCATCCAGTGGCCCCAAAACTTAGAAGAGAGATAACTCAGGAAACTCATGGCAACAGAGTGATTCAAACCTCTCTGGAAGCCAAGCTGTTGAATTGTGAGCAGCAGATACAGAATCTGAAAGAGGAAAATCAATTCAAGGGGTGAGTTTTGCATATACATAGACACACATATGCGGATAAAGGAAATACGAGTTGCATTACAATAAGAACTAACCCTACAGCATCCTCGACTTAGGCAGTTAACATAACTGATCAGATGTGACAAAACATACATTAAGGATGACCAGATAAAGATTTTTGGCAAGTACTGAAACCTGAGTAACACGGGGTAGAGAATGGGGAAAAGAGAGTAGGGATTGTAATTTCGATAACGTACCAATATCATCAACAAAAGCATCAGCTAACTTATCACATTTGTCCTTCAAACGAGTCTCAATTTCATGGGACAAAGACATTTGATATTCAGCCATATCCTGGAGAGTTCCGCAAATTTTCAGACAAGAAAAGTGTACATACAGGTTAATCAGAAATTTAGCTTCTGAACCCAAAGGTAAGACTATCTACTTTCTCAAATTTTGTATGGTACACTAGCTTACCATCATTAAGGGCATCTGTTGGAGCTGAGTTTGCCATAGATAGGCAGGGGTAATACCAAGATACTGATTGGCTAGGCCACCAACTCCAGGATCCAATGAGTCACCAACACTTGGAGAGAAGGCACTACCCATTGCACCTGCGCTGTTTGTGGTACTATTTGGATAATATAGTGAATTAGAGCTTGAGCTGATTGTGGCACTGGTACCAGTACTATCTAGGGAGCTACGTGACATCACACTCCATTTTTCGATATCTTCCTCCTGAACCTCACCATCTTTTGATATAAGAGGAAGCCTCAGTTTCTGAGCTGCTTCTGCAACAACCAATCGATGCTCTAGAGTCTCATAAACCTGTGATGAATAGAACATATCATAATTTATGCGAAAGATACTAGTATCACCTCTAAGTAATGGACATTATAAGGTTTCAAACATCATATTAGTTAAATGGCACTGTCACGTTTGCTTCAAATAGTTACAGAATTAATAATGACCATGGATAAGTTCCATACAAATTATTGGTTCTGGCTCTGAGTGCAAGCCGTAAAGCATGAATCAACAGAATCAGGGCCTCGAATTCTCTAAAATTAAGTCCAATGAATGCAAACAACAAATCAAGAACTATAATCCGATATAACACAATGAAATGATCCTTAATGTTGGTGGGATAGACTGAACACAATGAAGCACACTCCAACTCAGTAATAAAACGGGAAAACTCTAACATGAGCACCTGGGAGTGGCTCTTCAAGCTAAGCTGTGGATACAGGGCGTCCCGAATGCCTCCAAGACTAGGGCTTGACACAGCCTGCTGATACTCTTCCACCATAGCAGATGCTTCACAATAAATTGCCTGAATTCCCACCAAGAGCAACAGAAGCAAGAAATGAAAATTTATGAGATTCCTTACTAAGAACGCTCCTACATCAAATTACGGATATGTGGCAGCAAATTCAAAGATCCAAAATTTATGACCCAATTGAAAGGCGAAGGAGCAATGTACCATACCATAGCTTCCAAGTAACGCAATCTTTCTCTCGCCATCTCTTCTCTCGCCTGCCAAAAATAACAACCATTCACTTATCAAACTCTGCCAGAATTCCCACTAAATGAACCACACGGAACCACCGATCAACGGATTCTCAAACTGAAAGCGGTCTCATTTTTTGGTATTTTTTTGGCTGCAGCAGAAAAGAGAAGAATTTCAGAGAAATGAAGAAAATGAAGGGGAAGAGTCAAGTACGAGTTGAAGGTCATAGTAGGCAGATTTGGAGACGAGAGATCCATCGGGAGCCAGACAGTGGCGCTCCAACTGATCGATCACCTGCGCCACATCCGCTGGAAGATTCTGGCTCCCTCCTCCTCCTTGCAGCGTCTTCACCATGGATCGGAACCCTAAACGATTTACCTTCGTGAAGCTCCGGCCAGCCGTCGCTTCTGCTGCGACTGAGAGCGAATAGGAAATTCAAAAACTTCGGGAACTGACAGATTTGCATTTTGCCGGCCTTAGGGACCACTTAAAATTACACTAATGCCCTCCTGCATATTTTTTCTTTCGCGAGTAAATCACATAAACAGTCCCTCTACTTTGATGTTACTTCATAAAGATCACATTTGACCTCATAAAAGGATCCCAATTTCCGACACCGGCATCTCCCTCCGTTCTCCCCTGCGCTGCCGCCCCCGAATTCTCTTCCAGAGCTTCCCTACCTGCTACCGCCGCCTCCTCCTCCTCCTTTCCTCTCTGGAGGAATCTTTGATGGAAAGACCTGCGGAGGAAATCGTATCAGCGTCGTTGAAGAAGCTTGCTTTGATTTCCACCTCCTTGAATCCCAATTCTTCTCGTTCCATTCCAACCCTTCAACCTTCCAGTAAGTTCTCTTTTCCAAACTCTATCTGTCTCTTGAATTGAAGAACTTCATAGCAGCCGAATTCAGAAGTTTCGTTTTTCCAGGTTTGTAATCTTAGTTCCATGCTGATCCCTCAAATGATTGCCTTCGTAGGATTTCGTAGACAGAAGGGAAGGCCTCCAAGCTTGGCGAGCTTGTGTCTGGGAGTTCTGGGCAGGCATCTGGATGATGTAATTGGAGAGTTGAGTGAGATATCTGTCGGCTTTCCCGCTCATATTAAGGTTGCATACTTGCATTACTTGATTTGCTACGTTAAGCTAGCAATTTTCTCAATTCAACAAGTTATCTTCCGGTTGGGGTGGAACGAATTATGAGTTCATGATCTTTGCATTGCAGCTTGCAATTGTAGCGATTGCCCGGCGACGGAAATTGTTGAATGATGATGTGATCGTTTCGTTAGCCGACAGTTCCTGGGAAATTCTTGACATTTCCGGGTCAGATGTTACTGATGTCGGTTTGGCTGAAGTTTCGATAATATGCAGCCAAATCACGGCTGTGGATATAAGGTGTGTGGTAGGACAAAGCTTCTGTGCTGTACTTATTGAGCAATGAGCAATATGATACTGCTGTTCTGGTCTTAATGTCATCGCATTGGTGGCTAGCATTTATCTTTTTCTACTTGTTGATGGCTTTCCCATATAAATGGTTTATTTTTCAAATCGGAACTCTTTAATTTTGCAGCCGATGCAGTCAGATTACCCGTGCTGGTGTGGCTGAACTCGCACAGCACTGCAAGTCGTTGCAGACATTGAGATGCGGGTATGCTTTCTTTTGTTCCTTCATTGGTAAATCAATGGCATTGACTCTCAGCCCTCCTTTAAAGTTCAGTATGCAATGAGAATCCAGATTAGATAACTACCCTATTGGTTCTCTTGAAATGGATTTTCCCTTTGGCTTTTCGCCTTATATTTCCTTCCTGCATGTTTGCACTTGAACTAGATAAGGGTTGAGGTTTTTGACTAGGTTACTACAAACTATAACAGGATTGAACCAAAGTTAATGTTGCAGAGGATGCCCAAGGAGCAATTACACTGCACGTCGTAGCTTGGGTGTATTGAAGCCAAAACTGATTGATCTGGAAGGAGATTCTTGGGAGGAACTTGATGCTGCAGAAATTGCTCATGGTGCTGAATCCCTTCGGTGGCTTATTTGGGTAGGGAGTTGCTCGCAGTATACCTATTGTCATCCGTTTTTATGCACTTTTATCTTTCCTGGTGCCTGAAATAGGATAAAATTGCTGCTCTGCCTGTCTATCTTTTGCATGACTGAAATTTCATTTTGCTTTCTGCTTTACAGCCAATGATTGATAAAAATTCGCAAGAAACTCTAGCTGCTGAATGCCCACGCATCATAGTCAATCCCAAGCCATCACCTTTGGGTTTCCGTGGACTCGAGGTCCCCCTTGAAGCATATGCAGACATTCCATTGGACAATTCAGTTGTGAAGGATATTAATCCGACCACTTGGGCTGTATGTGGTTTTGTGCCGAGATCTGTGTCACCAAGCGTTTCAGAGAACACCGAGATTGAGCTGTCGATGGCCGAAAGATTCAGACTTGCATTTGTCGAAAGAGACACAAGGTTGGCCCCCAAGCGAGCAAAGAATGCCAGGCAGCATCAGCGTCGTGCTGAGCGGGAGATGTTGATGAGTAGCACGAACGCCAAGGCTATAGCTCTTGCCTCCAGAGCTACCAAATCATTCCATGGTAAAACCTAAAAGCAAAACAGCTGCGACACAAACGTAGCATCATATTGTTGTATTTTTGGCTTGGAAGTTCTGTAACTGGCGTATATAGTTCTGTAATATATCAAAATTGAGCTGAGAAGCGTTTGCTTTCGGCAGTCAGCATGTGAATTGAGAATATTTGCATCAAGCGTTTTATATGGTCACCTTGAAAATTTCCAGCAAATTGAGTGTACTTCTAGCTTTTTCTTTCATGAGCTAATTGCTTTGCAAGATGAAATGGTTCATCTGCCGGCAATTGATGATACTATGCTTACAGGTATGTGACATTCAGATGATGTCAAAGTTTATGAAATACTGGGCGAATGTTGAAAACCTTAATCCATTGTTGTACTGTATGTGGTTATTGTTTTAGAACCTAGATATATGCTTTTGTATGTAAAGTACTGTTTTGAGCATTTGTATAATAAATTATGTTGAACTTCCTAACAATGTGAAAAAGTGTTAAATGGTTGATTTTGGAAGTAGTTGTAAAAACTAAGAAGAAAGGGGTTGTTTGTGAAAGAGGGTTAGATTCTGTACTAAATTTGTGTTTGGGGGCTGAAAAGGATCTAACATTGTTACGAACGACAGTTAAGATTTTGCAAGAGCAATGGAACAAAATTGGTTGTGTTGAAAACCACTTGCTACGGACTTAATTAGAGGTTGATCCACTTGAGATTCTTCCCAAATCTGAACGAAGAGCAATCTAATGGTAATGTGTTGCTTTGTGTTGAGTTATTACTTTGCATTGGCGAGTTTTCATGTTTGAGTATCTAACCATTTGCCTTTTTTATTTTATTTCAGAATTATAGGATTGAGGTTTATTTATATTGACGGATGACAATTAGAGTTGGCAAATGGATTGGATTCAAGCGTTGGTGGATTGGATTGGTGGATTCATGGATCAAATGTATTGGATCCAATGGATTGGTGGATTCATGGATTGGATCCAATGGATTGGTAGATTGATCCCTGAATCTAGGGCTGGGAAACGGTGCGGTCTGGTCCAGACCAGACCATCTATACGGTCTACGGTCCAGACCGAGAGGCTAAAGTATAGACCACAGACCAGACCACAGACTATACGGTTCGGTCCAGACCACGCCTGTGCGGTCTGGTTCGGTCTGGTCTGGTCCACATAGACCACACTCAACGAAAAATGAATAATTTGTTTAGTCAACCACACAAAAAATTGAACCAATAACCAGAAAAAATAATTGTTATTTGCCTTAAATCATCAATCCTAACATGCATGAATAATTTTGATACTCTAAATCTTAGTACATACCAAAGATACAAAGTAAAAGCATCTCAACTTGCACCATAACGTCATAAACATTAACATAATGTCATATAGAGACACGATTATCTCTACTCTCTAGTTAAATGTGGTTATGAATTAAGGAGGGACGAGATTCACAAAACTAAGGTTGAGACTTGAGTGTCATTGTGGGAGTTGGGAGAGTGGTCGAATGGGCTGTTAACACGTATTTACAAGTCAGTTGGGTTCACGGTTTGGTCCGGTAAACCGCGGTCTAGACCAGACCAGACCAAGATATCAAAACATAAAATAGTACAGAACATGGACCAGACCAGACCATACTTAACAGTCTACGGTCCGGACCAAACTGTGCGGTACGGTTTGGACCACGGTTTTTCTAACGGTCTGGTCTATTTTCCCAGCCCTACCTGAATCCAAAGGATATCAAAAGTTTGGACCAAAATGTAAATTTTGAAAAGTATATGTACTAAAATATCATAATGAAAAATTTTAGGTACCAAAACGTAATTTTTCAATGATATTTTTCGTATAAAATTATAAATTTTGGGTACCAAAATATAAAATATAAAAAATATAGGTACCAAATAGTAATTTGCCATTTGGATTCATGGATTGATCTATTAATCCACCAATCCAATTGGATTGGATTGGATTAAGTGGATAATTTGGTGGATAGATTGGATTGGATTCATGGATTTGGATTCTAACTGCCACCTCTAATGACAATGGAGTTATTATTATTATTATTAATGCCTAGAGAGTAAAATGGTGAATTAGTTGATTTAGTTTTATAGAATTTTGACTCAAGTTATACGTATCCTAGTACTAATATGTGATTCTTTATTCGGTGTTGTATGAGTTGTTTTCGTACATTAACAATTGCTAAGGTTGCTGCTATATAGCTAATTGGATGGAAATAAAGATTGAAAGATATCATGGCCTTTTGTATATGTAACATTCTTTTGATTTTTTGTAGACTATTTGAAGTGTTTTAACACTTGCAGCTAAAATTGTCGACCTTTTGAGGTGGAAACAACAATCAATGATGTATATCTGGTCTCCTTTATATATTCTACATGAATAATGCAGAAAATATTATTAGGAGGATGGTTAATTTTATATGAATGATGTATGAAAGCTATAAGTTAATGTATTACATATTTGTGTTTATTTAATTACAAGAAAACAGGGAATGAGTGACAATCTTTGTGCGTTGGGTTGGTTTTTATAGGGAGATATAGTCCAAATTAAACTGACCACATTCGGAACAAATTAACACGATTTTTATATTAGTGGGTGGGTTTGAATTTGACATTATCGAATTTGAGATTTATATTTGTCATTATGCAAAAAAATGGTTATATTTGTCATAAGGATGAAAGTTGTCTATACGAATCTATTTTTAATATGATATGGCTGACATGTGGCATGACATGGTGATGCTTGTCGTTGATGTTTCTGACCGACATCTCTAATGACCTTAATATTTTTAATAAAATGGTGATGCTTGTCGTTGATATTTCTGACGACATCTCTAATGACCTTTATATTTTTAATGAAATGGTTTTATTTGTCCCATGATCATCACGAATCTCGCTATATTTGTGATTATTTAAAACTTAGCTATTTTTGTCACAAAGATCAAAGTTATAGTTATTCACGTATATTTTGCCCAAATTTTGAATGAATCAGACAATTAGTTGCAATAAAAGTTTTGTATTCAACCAATATATATAACTCAAAACTAAATTACATAGATCAATTATATAAGACAGCGTCGGATCCAGGACACAAGAGAGCATTGAGCCGCATTTGAATAGAATATTGGATACCATAAACAAAAATATATAATAATATATTTTTCATTACAATGCCAATTGTACAAGAAGGTCTTTTAATTTAGCAAATTCATCAATAATATAATCTCCATCCATACTGATAATATATTCTTTTCAAAGAAAATAGCTAAGTAATCAATGAGAAATTCATCGCTCATTTTGTTGCACAAATCATTGTTCATGTTCCATTGCTGAAAATATTCTCTCCATGGTAGTTGTTGAAACGGCTAGGTCAACACTAGGCAAATCAACCGACAAATCAATTTGTATTATGTGTCCATCCATGTTTCCTCCAGCTTCTCTAATAATTTTGCAAGAGAAGAAACTTCATATTCCTCACATGAGTAGTTCATTCTCCAAAGAATGCATCTTATAGCCTTCAAAGTCTCGAGGCTAAACTCTTGAGCAAGTTTTTCTTCATCAAAACACGAGAAAGAACGGTTAGAATCTAGTGCCCACTCAATTGAGGCAATCTGAATGATGACTAAGCAAGTTTGTAAATATTTTCATAATCAAAAGAATGGAAAGAAAACTAGCTCGATGGGCTGGCGGAGAAATCCATTTGGGTCTGCTCGTCTCCTCGTTCTTGTTTTGTTTTGGGGGGATTGGGAAATTTTTTGAATTTTGCAAGGAAGAGTGTGCTTTAGTTTAGAGTTTTTATTTTTATTTTAATGAAACTTTACACTTTTAGGTTTTCATGTCTTTTTTCAAATAAAATCATTGGGGATATAGAAAATTTACAGATCGTTTGGTACCAAATGAATTCAGAATTCATTTCGTTTTAAAATGAATTCCTGTGTTTGGTATATGCTTTTACATACTGTTTGGTATAAATGAATTCCATAAGTTTTGAGGAATTCATTTTGAAATGAAATATTTTTGTGTTTGGTATTAAAAAGAATTCATTTTCAATTCTAAATTTTGAATTCTGCGGAATTGGAACTAGTTATAGCAATTCCGAGGAATTGAGATAGAATTTCCAAATGAATTCCACAAGTATTTACTAATTATAATAAAATGACATGATTATCCTCTTTTATTAACTAAATTACTTATACATATGACATATCAAACACAGCAATTCATTTGACAATGAATTCTACACGACACTTCAATGATTTGAATATAACATACCAAACATAGGATTTCATTTGACAATGAATTTTACACGGTAATTTATTTTACAATGAAATGAATTCTCGATTCATTTGGTAAAACGGTGTGTTAGCGTTACAATCAAATTCTTGTCGACGTTCCTCATACTGCATGAATTGGCGCCAAATAATATATATAGAAGTAATTTGTTAATAAATGAGAATAATTATGTCATTTTATCATAATTGGTAAATACTTGTGGAATTCATTTGAAAATTCCATCACAATTCCTCGGAATTGCTATAACTAGTTCCAATTTCGTAGAATTCAAAATTTAGAATTGAAAATGAATTCTTTTAAATACCAAACAAAAAAAGATTTCATTTCAAAATGAATTCCTAAAAACTTATGGAATTCATTTATACCAAACGGTATGTTAGTATAAATTTAGAGTAATGGTTTGGATATGTTCATGTGAACCATTTTCCTGGTTACACAAAATCCTATAATCAAATAAAATTATACAGGATTTAAATAGCACTAAGCGAAAAACCTAAATCGAAAAATTTTATAAGCACTAAACTAACTCTGAATCCGGAGGAGGGCTGGGCGGGGCCTAAGTTGGCCCAGCCCTGGATCCGCCACTGATATAAGACTAATATGTATAACCTCGTTCACCATAAATAATATATTTCGTAGCTCGTACGACGTTGTCAGTATGGTAAGAATCGAACGTGACTGGGAGACTGTTCGAGGGACTTCTGTTGTGGATTGGGAAAAGCTTCGTGCTCTGGAAAAACAATTGAGGGAAGCTTGGATTGATGAAGAGATCTACTGGCGCCAGAAGTCAAGGGTGTCATGGTTAAAGGAGGGTGATCAGAATTCATCTTATTTTCATAATGTCACCAGAGCGCGTCGTCGCCATAACCATATACAGGGTATTTATGACCCTGCGGGTACCTGGGTCACAGCGGAGGATGACATGGCGCACGTGGCATGTGATTTCTATGGCGATCTCTTTACCTCGAGCGGTTTGGATCCCCAGTTGATCCAGGATAAAGCA